GAAGAATGGTCGAATTCTAATTCTCCTGCCAATAATCCAAACTTTTGTTGAATAAAAAATTCTTAAATCAAAGAAATTAATACATTCTTAAACAAAATTAAGATAATACTACGATTAGATTATCTCTTAAAATTAAATATCTAGAAACAAGATTTGAAACATTTGTCTAAATGGAATCACTTAATTAAACTTGATCAAGACTTTATTGACCCACTTGGATGCAATCTACTACAAAAATTGCTTAAAATCTTAGAAATCTCAAAGATAATATTCAAATTTCTGAACGTCAAAAAGTCTCCCAACTTGAGTCATTCATTTAAAATCTGATTTTTACATATCAATTTTATGAGTATTTATAGCATTTCTCAAACCTTCGATCCTTTAAATGCCCACTAAAAGAAGTTATGATCATGATTGACACGTTTGATAATTTTCCGCTACCTTTCAAATGTCCACTACAAGATGTTATTCCATGATTGGCAAGTAACTCCCCCACCAAACTCCACACTATACTTCAGATTCCCTCGGCTATAAGTTATGAAATTAAAACAATAAATAAAGTCTTCAAAGAAATTATCAATCAAGTGCTATTTATTTCAAACTCGTACTCTACTTCAGCCTTGTAAATGTTGGCTTCCAAAGTTTCAAATGATCCTTCCTCACCCGAGCCAATTTGTAACACATGAAATGGAGGCTAAATTGAGTCTATCGAAGTTAATAGACTAAGAATGAATGTTTTTTGAAATTTCTTCGCCTTGGATCATATAATAGATCCAATTGAAACATGTAGAACATTGTAATCCTTACCATTAGGACTCCTCAAAAAATAAATATAAAAATGACAAGAACAAGTATGGTCTCTTTCATAGAAGCCACGACCACGCAACTACAGACTTTCATTAATTGAGATCAAAGTCGTGATTTATTAAGGATATCTAAAGAATACACTAGACACAAAAATCTAGGGAGCAGAGACCGACTAGAGCGTGAATCTCCATGTGAGAACACGACCATATTTGGGAGTTAAGCCAGGGAGAATCAAGCAAAAAGCGAACAATTATACCCCGAGAAGCTTGATTCCACAATTGTTTTATTTGTGACAACATTTAAAGTTAAGAAGCTGTTGAAAGACTACATAGAACTTCCAATCATCTTTATAGAGAATAATAAAAAAAAAAAATGGTTACTTCTCAATTGTAGACTATACGTCAGCCTACAATACAATACTAGGGACATGACTTTACACGAACTCAGAGCAGAGGCTTCCACCTACCATCAAACTCATGAAGTTCTTAACGAATTGATTTTGATCTGTGTAGAAGAGATTATCATAAAATCAATAAAAATGTCTCAAGAAAGTGACAACTAAAACAAACGGATTAGCAGTGAGTTAGATAGCACTAAAGTTCGAGTTAAACTTTAAGGTGGAACAAGAACACGTAAGAGAACAATTAACTTTATATATATACTCCATATTAACTCTAATTTAGATGTGTGATTTTTCTCGATAAAAATTAGGTCGTTCTAGAATTTACGAAAGAAAACGAAATTATCCAAATAAAGAAACCGTAAAAATGACGAGGAAACAAAATAACATTTAGGTTAAAAGATGAAAATGATGTAGCAACCAACCTAAGCTTTTGGGCAATAAATGCAAGGAGGGTATGCTATAGGTTGTCTTCTTATATTCCATTTCCTCCCTCCTTTGGGCAAAGGACATGAAAAAGGTCCCATTTTGCTCATCCATTCTTTTCCATTTTTCCATGTGCATATTACTCTCTTTTCTCTCTCTCGACCACTCTCGACAACCGCTAGATAACATTTTTATATCTGATACAAAGCTATCTTACTCTTATATCTGACAGATGTTCGAGAGACTTCTCAACGTTATGAACTTTCTTTTTCTCAATTTTTCTGTCGCTCTCATATCCGTTAAATTTACCATCTCTCTATTGTCACTTTCATGTAACTGTTACTATTGAGATAAAAAAAATTGTATTTTTTTTTCATGCAAAACCTATATCTAATTTCTATAGGAAATTATGAACATTTTGCATCTTTCTTTTATGTCGAGATTCAGATTTAAATTTGTAACCTTAGATTAATAACGTAAAAATTTGAAGTAAAAAAATTATTTTAGGAATAAATTTGACCGCTAAGCTTGAAAAGAGTTAAAATATATTTGCATGCAATGAATTTGCATACATTTCGAAATAGATTTATAAATAGGGATTACGAATGAAATACGAATAATTGTCTCTTCTTTCCCAAAAAAAAAATAAAATAAAAAATAAAAAATAAAAAAGTTTACATTTTTTACATAAATATTGTCTAACAAGCCCTTAATTAGGGTCGATTTGGGGTAGAAGGTGACCCTTCCGACAAATGTAACCATCCATTTTCAGGATTTGGATCAAGATTTAGCACCTGATGGCCCTGGCATTCGCCTACGACATGATCATGTTATTTACTTTTCGTTTCTTGAAAACTATCCTTATAAATCAACATGAGTCCGCCCAAAATACTTTTTCCTCATTCACATGTTCATGATTGAGCCAACGAAAATAAAGGTGTACCTTGTTGGTATGAGTAGTAATTTTCATTTTCTTTAAACATTTTTTGACTTATCTTCATAATTACTCTCATTTGAATATGATTTCGATTAATTTATGTATGTCTTTTTTACTCGGGTGTCATCAGTCGATGATTATGGTCAGCTTGGGGTAAAACGGATGATTTGTTCATTTATATAAAGTCACTTTTTAATTTATTCTTAGGTGCAAAATCAAAAATCAACTTTTCTATAAATTTGTGTTCTTATTCTTAGAATATTTTATGAAATAATAATTTGCAACTTAAATTGGATAAAATTTTAATTAATTGATCTTCGAACGAGTTTAGTATCCTTCCCTCAAATTTCTTTTTCAAATTACAAAATTAAATTTACATATTTTAATTATTATAGAGATGAATGGATGAGTTGGAGTAATAAAATTTGAAATACAAACATTCAAATGTAGAGTGTATACTAACGGAAACAAGTTCTGATACCATGTTAAAAATGATGCTACGATGTCATGAAGAATGAGAATAGAAGTGAAATTGAAAGTACGAGAAATATAGGTGCGATCAAAAGTCCCAGTGAGATTTAACGTCATAAATGCTCACAAAGTTTAAATAGAATACATTATGAAGATAAGATAAAAATATATCAAATATAAAATCTTAACTGATTACCGCTATATAAAATATATTCTAATACCCCTTAATGTCATTTATCCTTCTCTTAAATTTCGGGTAACACTGATATTTCTGAAATTTATAACCGAGCAGGCTATCAAGAAATTAAGTTTATGTTACTCAATGATATATGTTTTGATTTGTTGAGTTATGTTTAAATTGACTTTCTTTCCAATTTAACCATCACAAATTATTAGATTTAGTGAATGGACTTTTTCTTCAAGGACTTCCTTGTTAGAGGAACACGACTCTCCACAATAGTATGATATTGTCCACTTTGAGCATAAGCTCTCATGGCTTTGCTTTGGGCTCCCCCAAAAGGCCTCATACCAATAGAGTTAGTATTCTTCACTTATAAACCCATGATCACACCCTAAATTAGTCGATGTGGGACTTCCATCATCCAACATTCCTCACCCATCCTAACGCTTTTTGAGCGACCCTTCGCCCTAATGCTGACTGGATCCATTTCCCCGTACACATCCACATCGGTTCCAAAAGCTTCCTAAATAAACGAGAACTTCTACTTCTTCTCATGGAGGCAGATCGAGATCCGTGTCTCACGGAGGGAAAGCGTTTGAGCTCGCTTAATGTGCTTGAACCCCGAATCATCTTAACCTCAACTAAGTCTAGGAAGCAGCTTATCGTGTACACTCATCCCAAGAATCAAAATCAAATCCTTTTCATTTAGATAGAGTGCGAAAAGCTAAAAGAAAGATCTCAATAAGAGTTTTTGATTACAAACGTGTCGATGGTCGAAAACTTCCCAAAAATAAAATAAAATGGTAAAAATGTGATTGGTAAGGATTATGGCTGATGGGGGAGGAAACACCCAAATCCCTTGGGAAAAGTGCTGTGGACATCCCCTTTTAATTTGGGAATTGGATTCTCAATGGTTGGACACCATTCATGTTTCTCTTGGATCATCTACATTCATCCATTTTTGTCTTTTATTATTATTATTATTATTATATATATTTATAAGTGCTCTTATTTACTACACAATATATATTCTTTATATTTTAGTATTCTCATATTTATTATTTTATTTAACTTGGACCCACTTTATATTTTACAGAATTTTCTCGAAAAAATATCTCCCTTTTTTCAACCTTTTTCAAAACTTCAACCTATTATTTTTCTTGATTTTTCTAGATTATTTGTATATCATTTAATGTGGGAACTATTTTCTTCCCTCTTAAATCAATCCATTATTAAAATATTTAAAAAAAAAATAGACCCTTCTCCGATCACGTGTCACATATTCTTCTACAGTTACATAAACGCTCGAAATTTTAGTGTCTCTTGTTGGATGATAAAAGTTCCACATCGACTAATTTAGGAAATGAGCATGGGTTTATAAGTGAGAAATATTAACTCCATTCGACTGAGATCTTTTTGGGGAGCCCAAAGCAAAACTACGAGAGCTTATGTTCAAAGTGGACAATATCATACCATTGTGGAGAGTTGTGTTTGTCTAACATGGTATCTATTCTTCTACAATTACATAAACATTCAAAATTTTAGTGTTTCTTACTTATATACTCATAGTATTCAAATACCTCCGACCCTGAGTTGACTTAATGTTCGTGCAAAATGCACGGAGGCATTTGGGTAGATTTTGTCTTAAAAAAAACAAAAAATTTAAAAAAATTGTCTTTTTCTAATTCCCATATCTTCTTCTTCTTCCACACTCTCTTATTTTGTTCTATATAAACCCTTAGCCCTCAAACTAATTTCCCTCACAAAAAAAGCTCTCAACTTTGCAACTAAAACCATCACTTGCTCTCTCAATCTTTCGTTTTTTTCCCTTTGTTCCAAGAAAAAACCCTCAATTTCAAGAGGGAAACACAGAGAGATTGCTTCATTTTTGTTAATGGAGATTCTCTCTTTCACTCTGTATTTAATAATATTCTTCATTTCTTCTGCTTTTTTGCTTTATTTCAAGAGAAATGAAACCCCAAAACCCAGAAAATCTCTTAGGCTTCCTCCTGGTTCCATGGGATTGCCATGGATTGGAGAAACTTTGCAGCTTTATTCTCAAGATCCCAACATATTTTTCTCCGAAAAACAGAGAAGGTAAAGAAAAAACACCAAAAAAATGTTTTTTTTTTAATGAATTTTATCGACTAAACAAGTGAAAAAACTCGAGATTTTAATTGGGTTTTGTTTCTTTTCATGTTTTTTTGTGGCAGATATGGAGAAATTTTTAAAACCAACATTTTGGGATGTCCTTGTGTCATGTTGGCCAGCGCCGCCGCAGCCCGGTTCGTTTTGGTAACTAATGCTCATTTATTCCGACCGACTTACCCCAAAAGCAAAGAGACAATGATCGGTCCGGCGGCGCTTTTCTTCCACCAGGGAAATTACCATTCTAACATTCGGAAACTTGTTCAAAATTCTCTCTGTCTCGGAAGCCTCAGAAACCTTGTTCCTCATATTGAAACCGCCGCCATTTCCGCCGCCGAATCATGGGCTGCCGCCGGCCACGTCATCAACACCTTCCTCGAAATGAAAAAGGTCCGTAACATTTCTCAAAATAAACACGAAATTATTCATAATTTTATCTAATCTCTGTTTTTTCTGTTAAAACAGTTTTCTTTCGATGTGGGAATTCTAGCAGTGTTTGGGAAGCTAGAAAGTGATTACAGTGAGAAACTCAAAGAAAACTATTGCATATTAGACAAAGGCTACAACTCTTTTCCAACCAGATTACCAGGAACAGCATATTCCAAAGCATTATCAGTAAGAACAATGAAAAAAAGTTTAAAAAAATCCAATCTTTTCCAAAAAAGGCACGAACTTTCTAAATTTCGGAGATACCCAGAATGTTCTTTTGACATATTTCATTGAATTTTACAGGCAAGGAAGAAACTGAGAGAGATTCTGGGCGAGATAATAATGGAGCGGAGAGAAAAAAGGGTAACAGAGAGAGATTTGGTGGGTCATCTCTTGAGCTTCAGAGATGAAAATGGTGGAATTTTAAGTGAGGATCAGATCGCCGACAACATCATCGGAGTTCTGTTTGCGGCGCAGGACACCACCGCCAGTGTGCTGACGTGGATCCTTAAATACCTCCATGATAATTTGAAGCTCTTTGAGGCTGTTCGGGTAAGGAATTATACAAATATTAGTTACTCAATTATCCATTTAATTGGAATTTTGAAGCAAAACGCCGTCGTTTTCTAATAGGCAGAGCAGATGGAGATTTATAGAAGAAATGGTGATGGGAAGATGCCTCTGTCTTGGGCACAGATTAAGGATATGCCCTTAACTCATAGGGTATGTTTGTTTTCGAGCCGTCCCGGTTCAATTTTTACGAAGATTTGAACTTTCGATCTCATGCATGTGGTTTATTTTCAGGTTGTATTAGAAAGCTTGAGGATGGCTAGTATCATATCCTTCACTTTTAGGGAGGCAGTGGTGGATGTGGAATATAAAGGTATATTCCAAGGGCTTTTTGGTCATTTCACATCATTTTTATTTATTTTTTAAAATTAAATTAAAATAAATAACTAATAAATATTAAATATTAAATAATTTAGGGTTCCTAATACCAAAGGGTTGGAAGGTGATGCCTTTGTTCAGGAATATTCATCACAATCCTGACTACTTCCCGAACCCTCAAATCTTTGATCCCTCCAGATTTGAGGTATGCTTTGAATATTCATATTTTTCTCTTTTATTTTAATTCTAAAAAATAATATTAAAGCATTTTTTTATTGCGGATTATCCAGGTGGCTCCGAGGCCCAATACATTCATGCCATTTGGCAATGGAGTACACTCTTGCCCTGGGAACGAACTTGCCAAGCTGGAGATCCTCGTCTTACTTCATCACCTCATTACCAAGTTTAGGTAAATCCCATCCGTTCGATTAATGTTAAAATGGAATTCCGAGTCTCGAGCCGTTGTTTTACGATAATAAATAAAAAATAAAAAAATTGATTATATTGTTTTTAGTTTAGTTAATTGAGCTATGTTCAAATTGATAATTATGAGCGGAAATAATAAGTAAATGAGAAAATAAAAGGGTGTGTTACGTTTGCAGGTGGGAAGTTGTGGGATCACAAAGCGGGGTTCAATATGGGCCATTCCCAATGCCTGTCAACGGGCTACCGGCCAGATTTTTCAAACAAACGACAACCAACCAATAGCCTCTCATTTCTCTTTCAATATATATATATATATATATATATATATATATATTTTAATTTTATTTTAAATCTTCTGATATATATTTTTAGATTACGAAATTAATGCTCTTCTCCGATCAATGCTCGTATTAATTTTATTTCGAGTATTGAAAAAGAAGCGGTTTGTATTTGTTGTCTCTTGTTCCTAAGAATGGTATGAATTATATTATTATGAATGTAAGATGCATCGAACGAGACAATGAATCTCGAATAATGAATTTTATTTCTCTTCCCAAGAAATAAATTTTCAATTTCCTCGTAAATCCATATGAACATAATTCAATTACTTAAATTATGGTCTAATTAGGGTTTTAATTATAATTTGTTTGCTTTGAAGACGGTCACAGTAATCTATGGTTGAGTTAATCGGATCGACAGTATCAGTCTGGTTAAAAGTAATTGCTCAAATGTAAACACGAACAGATGACTATTTTAAGGGAGATTTAGTGATCTTTCCTTCGAGGAAAAGATTACTAGGAATACGACCATAAGCGCATAATATGTAACATCATTTTAAGGTTTGAATCGAAAGAGTATGAGTTCGAGTATTTTGGAATATAAATTAAAATTATTTCATTTTTTAAAGAGATATTTTTCGAAATAAATTATTGGGAAATGGACTCTAAAAGCCGACTTACCACCCATTTCCATTTAGGCAAAATAAAGGACATCCTTTTCTGACGTGGATCGCTGTCTGTGGATATCTTCGCATGGGGTCCACTGCTTATGGTCCTGAAACTGCCACGTGTAAGTACACTATTTGATAATTTACTTCCCTTATTTATATAAAAATTTACGGCCGTTGGGTAACTTAGTTTATCATACACAAAATTATTAATTACTTTGGTCTCGGTGTATCTAGAGATGTCTATGGGGTGGGACAGGACGAAGAAGGCTTTTTCGTCTCCATCCATGTCACCTATTTCATTTTTCATCCCTGTGAGATTTTCCATTTAGTTTAATTTGAATTGAAGTAGACATTCCCACATGATCATGTTCGGATAATTTTCTCCGTTTATTATTATTTTTTAAAAAATAGTTATTTTAAAGTTTTTAATATAATCTTTATTTAAAAAATTGTAAAAAAGAAAAAAGAAAACAATATATTTCATATAAGCAATACCAATATTTTTTAAAAAATCAAATTTTAATATTATGACATGGATTTTAATAATTAAAAAAAATCTAAAATATAATTTAAATATTAAGTCTCAAAATTAACTAATTTAGTTTTTTATAAAAATATATCAATTTAAACAGGGTGAGGATTAGGACGGGTAATATAATCTCATCCCCGACCCCATTTATCTAATGGAGAAATGTTCTCCATTCCCTCCCTCATTCCCCATCTAAATCGAGAATCCTCTTCCCGTTTTAGGTAGGTCCTTACGGCTAAAATAGACATCTCTAGATGTATCATACCCAATATATTATGTCAAGAAGTATGAGAGTTTTAATGTGTTAGGATATGGTTTCTAGACATAAAATGTACTTTCAAGTCAAGATATTATCGGTGTAGGTCCTCTATATACTAACTAGTTCAAATAGATTAACCGATAGTTCAAATAGATTAACCGACGTCTAGTTTGGCTAGACAAATCCAGCATTGTCGCATTTGTTGTCAAGTTCACATATTGACATAAGTCGATTAATGGATGATTGACTAATGTGATCTAGCTAGTCTTATGTCGTATTGGACCTATTGAGCTAGTTTGTATTCATTTGGCTATCATGTTTCACCGATAACTCATGAGCGTGTCTCTCTTAGCTCAAGAGTCATTTTATCGATTCATATTAAGCCCGTGTTCTCTATTTTTGCTCGAGAGTCATGTTTGGGCCGACTTCTAGTTGGGTTACACAACTTCTTGGTTTGATTTTGATTAGCTCTCGTGTGATTGTCTAGTAATACCATGTTCTATCTCGATTTCATAAATATCGATTACTTAAAGACACGTGAAATCATTATAATAGAATATAAATAATATAGCTTATATACCATGCTATGAAAACATTTAATAGAGTTTTATCTTAATTTTATATTGAAATAGAGTTGCTACTAGATGCATGACGTGATCTTTTTATGTGGAAACATTCATTTAAAATAATTTACGAAATGGTATCAAGGACTTATACATTTACATTAAAACTTGTAAAACAAAGCAACTAAATATAACCAATGTGAAATATAAATAAATCAAAGAAAAGATTGAAAACGGTACCCTATTCTAATAAGATCTACGAAAATAAAATGCAACTACCCTAACACATGTTCCATAGTCTTCAACACGATGCCGTTGTCAATCATACGTATACGTATCTTGTCTTTACCTGAAATATAAGAATAACACAAGACTTGAGTATTTTAAGAAATACTCATTAAGTGACTCTACTATTGGGGTCGGTGAAAGCAAAGTGCAAAGATAACAGAGATGACAAGGCTTTACTTACTCAACGATCATCGCCTTCAGAGCAAAAATCAACACAACACGTTGGTGGTATTGGGAGAGAAGGCACCTATATATGAAATTCTAATATCTTGCAGCTTCATTGATATAGTTGTTGGGGGCATTTTGAGAATTGAACTTGAGACCTTTCGCACCCAAAGCAAGAATCATACCATTATTAGTGGCTAGTCCATGTATTTTCTGAGCCTTAAGATTTGAACATACTATTATGATTTTCTTGAGATTATTAAAACATAAGAACATTCCAAGAATTGAACTCGGGAACTCTTGCACCCTAAGCAAGAATCATACCACTAGACCAAATTCTCTTGTAGTAGACATATCATTTTTAGTGGCTACTCCATGTATTTTTTGAGCCTTAAGATTTGAACCTAATACTAGTCCATGTATTTTTTGAGCCTTAAGATTTGAACCTAATATGTAAAATACATTTTGAGCACATTTGACACTCTTCAATTAGAGATTATTAAAATATAGGGACATTTCGAGAATTGAACTCCCCGAAGCAAGAATCATACCACTGGACCAAATGCCCTTTGTAGTAGACCTATCATTTTTAGTGCTTAGTCCGTGTATTTTTTGAGTCTTAAGGTTTGAACCTACTATTATGATTTTCAATGTGTAAGATACATTTTGAGCACATCTGACACTCTTTAGTTAGTGTAATACCTGAAGAAAGAGAAATAGAAATAGAAAAAGAAAAAAAAAAGGAAAAGTCGAGAGAGGGGCAAATAGGTAAGTTTGCCCCTCCAACCGCTAAAGGGGTCCAAATGAAACCCTATCAAGAGTCCTGCAAAAGAAAAATAGTGAGAGAAAGGGGTTAGAGAGAACCTAGAGAGAGGAGGAAGAATGAACGTAAGACTCACCGAAAACTACCATTGGAGTCTACTCCGGTCAAGATCATGATGCAAGGAGCCTTTCTTGGAAGGGAAAAGAGAATGTGGGCGGCCAGAGTCCCATTATCCATCAAGAAATCAGAAAAATTCGTGAGGTAAGATGTTGAACGTTTTCTCAGATCTACGATTTTCCTTTGTGAATCAAGATTTGAAATCTTGATATATTCATTTAGGAACAACTCTCTACAGTATCTTTGAAGAAGTTTGGCTAAAACCTCGATTCGAAGGCAGAAACCCGAGAATCATCCAAGAACGGTGAGCGAATTTCCGATGCTCTTAACTCGTTCGGTAGTCAAGCAAAAATTACAAAAAAAAAAAAATACTAAGACGTAGCCCGTAATACGATCTGGAACTTTGCTGAAAAAATTATATCGATCCGATCTACGGATCGAAAGATATGAAAATCGAGAAAGGGGACTGTGTTACGGATTTTAGAGGACAGAGAAGAAAAAGAAAAAAAAAAAAAGAGGTCGGCTGTGACCGGCGGAGGGTGGCGTGACAGGCGCCGGACACGCGTCGACCGTCGGCTGGAGCAACACAGCTTTAGTGAGGTGACGACACGTGTCACCTGCAAAGTCGAGCCGAACTGCAAACGCGAGCCAAACCAAACCGGCCAACCCGTGACTGCGTAGGGGCTACCACACATGGTAGGCGCTGTGCGGCCTGCGACTGGCGCACGTCCACGCGTGTGGTTAGCACTTTGCTGGCGCGTGAGCATGCGTGAAACGACCGTTTTGGCCCGGTTGCCCTCTGTTTGCCCAATTTTTTTCCTGATTTCAGTTTTAATACTGTTTTTACGTGTATAGGGACCTAATATAAAGAAATCAGTATTTTTGGACACCTCACGGGCAAAGAAACGCTTGCTAAAAGGCACGCGTCAACCAAGTAAGTCACTGCCTGGTATTTAGAAAGAAATACTCGTAGGATTCGCTTGGATTGCATGCATGGTAGTAATTTTGCTTCAGATTAGCTCTCCATGTAAATTATTAGTCAGACTAATTGTTATGATTGTATTGGGTGAATTATATGAGTGTTGTTGTATGCTTTAAGCTTCTGCCATATGTATGCATGCGTTTAATTTATGTTTGTATTGTGTATTCCGGGTGCTTGATGGATGAATTCGCCTCATTGAGTGCAAACTTCGTGTTCTGGGTGCTTGATGGAGGTCATCGCCCCGTTTAGCCGGTATGCCTAGTTTGCATGAATTATATATTATGATGTTAGAAGATGGTTGCATGTACACTCTGTTAATTGCTAGGGCCCATTTCTATGATAAGCTTAGAGGATTACTGTTAGGAGCGATATGTCGCTCTAGCCAGACTTAATTTTCTCCTAGGAACTTAGCGGTTTACCACGGCAACAAGGTACCTCAGGAGTGTTCATAGATTGCTAGCGTGAGAACGGTATCTATAGTTTCATGGGAGGACCAAAGGTCCCTGATCAGTCCTTACTGCTCTTAGCCATTTCACATGGGAAATGTGTCTTCATGTCGTACAACCCATTAGCTGCATGGGAACGGGTTGGGTCGCGCCCCCCATAGGGGACTATATGGGCGTAGGGGTATTCAGCACACCGCTGGCTAGATACCATGTAGTCCCAGATAGCCATGTA